CCCCTTCCCCCACGGCCTCTGAGCCCATCCCACCAAAGGGACTTTACGTCCCCAGCCCGGCCAAACCCCGCACATCTCCCACCCATCCCCGGACATTCCAGCTGCCGTTCCCGTTCACACCGGTTCCGAGAAATCGATCACTGGGATCACTGGGATCACTGCCCAGTACCCAGTGACCCCTGCCTGGTACCCTGGGACCCCTTCTCAATGCCCAGGGACCCCTGCCTGGTACCCTGGGACCCCTGCCCAATGCCCAGGGACCCCTTCCTGGTGCTCAGGGACCACTGCCCGGTGCCCAATGACCCCTCCCTGGTAACCAGTGACCCCTGCCCAGTACGCTGGGACCCCTTCTCAATGCCCAGGGACCCCTGCCCAATGCCCAGGGACCCCTGTCCACTACCCTACGTTGCTTCCTAGTGCCCACTGACCACTGCCCAATGCCCAGGGACCCCTTCCTGGTGCCCAGTGACCCCTGTCCAGTGCCCAGGGACCCCTGTCCACTACCCTGGGCTGCTTTCTGGTGCCCAGGGACCACTGCCCAATACCCTGGGACCCCTGCCCAGTACCCTGGGACCCCTTCTCAATGCCCAGGGACCCCTACCCAATACCCGGTGACCCCTGCCCAGTACCCTACGTTGCTTCCTGGTGCCCAGTGACCCCTGCCCAATGCCCAGGGACCCCTTCCCAGTGCCCAGGGACCCCTGCCCAATGCCCAGGGACCCCTTTCTGGTGCTCAGGGACCACTGCCCGGTGCCCAATGACCCCTCCCTGGTACCCAGTGACCCCTGCCCAGTACGCTGAGACCCCTTCTCAATGCCCAGTGACCCCTGTCCAGTGCCCAGGGACCCTGTCCACTACACTGGGCTGCTTCCCAGTGCCCAGGGACCCCTGCCCAATACCCAATAACCCCTGCCTGGTACCCTGGGTTGCTTCCTGGTGCCCAGAGCCCCCTGCCCGGTGCCCTGGGACCCCTGCCCAATGCCCAGTGACCCCTGCCCAGTACCCAGTGACCCCTGCCCAATACCCAGTGACCCCTGCCCAGTACCCTGGGACCCCTTCTCCATGCCCAGTGACCCCTGTCCAGTGCCCAGGGACCCTGTCCACTACCCTGGGACCCCTTCCTGGTGCCTAGGGACCACTGTCCAGTGCCCAGTGACCCCTTCCTGGTGCCCAGGGACCCCTACCCAATACCCGGTGACCCCTGCCCAGTACCCTACGTTGCTTCCTGGTGCCCAGTGACCCCTGCCCAATACCCAGTGACCCCTGCCCGGTACCCTGGGTTGCTTCCTGGTGCCCAGAGCCCCCTGCCCAGTACCCAGTGACCCCTGCCCAGTACCCAGTGACCCCTGCCCACCCCATCCCCCTTCCCCCACGGCCTCTGAGCCCATCCCACCAAAGGGACTTTATGTGCCCAGCCCGGCCAAACCCCA